TTTCCCGACAAAATATTTACCCGAATGTATCATTTCACCGACAGCGCTTTTTCCCGACAACCATTTTACTATCATTTTCTCGAGTTATGTTAGGGTGTAATAATTGTCGGGAAGAAGGCACTGTCGGGAAAATGATATTGTCTGGTAAATATTTTGTCGGGAAAATGAGTTTCGGGAAGATTATACTGTCGGCAAAATAATACTGTCGGGAAAATGAGTGTCGGGAAAGTGGTGTTCATAGTGATACAAATTCAAGTGACATTCTAATAGCGGAAAATGATAATTATGATGATAATGAAAATTATAATTCGGATAATGAATCGGGAGATTCTAATGGCACCATAGTAGAAGATATCGAATTAGAAAACATGGAAGATCCAGAATTGGAAAGCATGGAAAATCCAGAATTAGAAAGCATGGAAAATCCAGAATTAAACATTAACATTCAAGAAATTATAGAAATTAGTGATTCAGAATCAGAATCAATTGAAAATCGATATACTGTCAAAAGGAAAAATGTCGGGCTACTTTCTGTCGAACCACCTGAAATAGAAAATGTAGATATTGAATTCAAAATAGCAGTGAATGCGGATAACAATGTATTATTATTTGATTTTTTATTTTATTTTATAATTTTATTACAATTTCAAATATTTTAGCCTAGAATGCCATTACTTAATATTACAAATTCATCTCGGCCTATACATCCAAAACATGGAATTATTCGACATGCTGCTCTTTTAAATGTTAAAAGAAACTGTGAATTTATTAAAAACAAAATGGATGCAAAGTATAAAACAAAACGAAATCGAACATACGAACCTGGTGATTTAGTAAAAACTCGCATTCCACACCATTGATAAAGATAGATCGAAGATCTCTACCATGCAAGGTCATTCAAAGGAAGCCTAACCGTGATTCTTACCAAGTCGCCTGCAAATTTGGGATCCTCGACAATTGGTAAATGAACTTGAGCCACTGGGTGCTCCTGATTATCCTGATCTCAACGTTGTACCACTAAATAATATACTTTCGTTAAGAGAAGTAGGTGTCAGACAAAACTTTACTCGTAACAATAAAAGATCGACTAATAATCACAAACGTCCAACCTATAATCTTCATGATGGCCATGCTCTTAGTATTAGCGAGTACCCGTCAAATACGTCCCTTGAGTAAGTAATAAAAAAAAACATAATTATTATAATAATATTAATAATATTAATAATATCAATAATCAAGACACCAAATTTCAGCATCATCCATCTCAGAATTATCGTCATTTATTTATCACATTAACACAGTTAAATCATTCCTTCATATTGTTAATTATTTTAAACAAAAAAAGTTCTAATTTTCATCATTCATATTGACATCAGGAAATTTTTAAATAAGGTATATTGTGACGCAACCAAGTTTCAGAATTAAACTTTGGCTTGTGGAACATGTGAAATATGTAGTGTAACTCTATAATAGT